TGGCTGTGATGTCCTGGTTCCTGTTGAGGCAGCCACGCTCACTTGGCGATGGGAGAAACGAGTGAAAGGTCTGATTCGAGTGGTGTTTCAGAAGAAGAGGCTGGTGGTGGTGAAGGAGATGCTCCCTACAAGGCCCCGGGAGCAAAGCTCCTGTGGGGAGAGGGCACCTGGCTCTCTGGGGAGACTTTCAGCAGTGCTGTTCCCATCTGGTACTCTTCGCACCTGCCTCATGTGAACCCTGCCCTTCCTCTCCCGGTGTGTGGACGCCGTCTGAAATGCTTAGTTGGCTTTAAATCCTGCTGGGCCAGTTAACTCTCTCTTTCTCATGTGCTTTCACCTGGTTCTTTGTTGCCATGCTGGCTCCCTCAGGCTGTTGGGACGATCGAGGTCTGTGGCAAGCCAAGGGGAAGCAGCGAATGCTCCGTGTTCCTCCTCTTCTGCTCCCGGGGACAGAATGTGCTTTCCTCCACTGGGTCGTTTTGTCTCCCAGTGGCTCTTGTCCCATGAGCAGAGGTCCCCGCTGGGGTCTTACGCAGCATCTTTTGCCGTGGGTGACTTCCAGGTTTGGCTCAGAAAGCTCAAACCAGGTGAACCGGTCTGGGAGGCAGCAGGTCCTGCCTAGACAATATGCTCCAGCGTCAAGTTTTTGGCAAAGCTCCTGCTCCTAACTGGCTGCTTGGCCAATCTCCTGCTGCTGTCCAGGAGCCTGGTTACCACCTGGGAATACTCTGCGTGCTGCCCTTCCAGGGGTGATTACCAACTTGTCTTGGGCCACACCACCATGAAAGGTGGAGGTGGGACGTGCTGCGTCCATGGTCGCTAGATGGGAGGCTCCTTGTCTTTGTTTTGGTGTGAGCTTTGAGAGATCTGCCTGTACAGATTCTTGGCTCTGTCCTTTCTTTGCCCTAACAAGCTGGCAGAGGGAGGCTTTGGAAAGACTGGGAGAGACTTGGAGCTTCCTTTTCCATGACACATTGTGCGTTTGGTCACGCAGTTGCATGAGCTTTGAGTTGGTGCTTTTTAGATTTCGGGTGGCAGAACTAGTAAATGCCATTTCCTGTTTCCAGGACTGCCCTGTGGGTTTTGCACTGGGAATTCTCACCCCAGTAATTTCCTGGGGGTGCGTTGGCAGCTTGGATTAGCCTGTTACCCTGTGCAGTGTGTTCTTCATTTCCTGCTTTTTTGAGAGAAGGACAGCCAGGCTACAGGGTGAGGTGTGGAAATGCCATTTTAAAAGGGGAGAAACAGAATCTACTAGAAAGAAATGTTCCGTGTCCAAAGCAGCGCTGAGTTTTCGTGGATGTGCTTTTTGCTGCAGTGTTGATACCCCACACCCTGTGATGGTCTCCTGGTGAGTGGTGTAGCACAGATACCACAGTGTTGTACCAGACCCCCTCAGCCACCCCTTGTACTGGTTGCTGAACATATGGGCCACAGAAATACCTGTCCCAAAGAGCTTCAACTGGGACAGGACACGGGGGACTTGTCCAGTCAGTTTGGGAGCACAGCATCAGCTCAGGTCTTGGCTCCTGAGGCAGCAGTGTTTGCTGGGAGGTGCTGCCTGCCCCGAGCTCTCTGTCCATGCAAAGGTCAGGACAAGACAGCTTCAGGCAGGGAGTTAAGCTTGGAGAGAGCAGATTCATCTAGCCAAGCTGCAAAACCAGACAAGAGTGGTCTAGACTAGGTTTAGACTGGATCTTAGGGAGAAGTTCTTCAGGCGAGACTCTGGACTAGATTGCCCAGAGAGGCTGTGGATGCCCCTCCCTGGAGGTGGTCAAGGCCAGGTTGGATGAGGCCTTGAGCAACCTGGTCTAGTTGAGAGGCATCCCTGGCCATGGCTGGAGGTTGGATGAGATGATCTGTAGGGGCCTTTCCATCCTGAGCCAGTCTGTGAGTCTCTGATCTGCTGGGAGTCAGCTACAGGGAGAGGGGCTCAGGCATCGAGGGCACCGCAGACACTACGGCACCAACTTGCCATCTGGCTGTTGTGTGTGTGTCCTCGTGTGTCTTAGAAGTCCCCTCCTGCCCAGCTCAGGGTGCTTGCACTCCTCCTGGCCAGCCTGTTCCACCCTCTGCCCGGGTGGGCAGGGCAGAGACCTGGCACAGCTGGGCTGAGCCCTTGGAGCACCCACCTCACGCAGTGGCTGGAGCTGCCCGGTGCTGGGTGGTGGTGTTCAGCCCTGCCCCTGCAGCCTGCTGGGAGTGAGACCATCCTCTTCAGCAGCTCCTGTGGGAGCTTTGTTTGGGGGAGCCTGGGTTCAAATTCTTTCAAAAGTGCTGCTGGAGAGGTGGAAGCCTTTGCTGTTCTGTCAGCCGTTAGCCAGCAAAGGCGTAAAGGCAACGGCCGATTGCTTCAGAGCCCCGGGCAAGGGTTTCCTCTCCCCAAGCTGGCTGCCACATCCCCTCCTCTGTCTGCGAGGCAGGTCGTTGGTTGGGCTGGTGAGGCCCAGACCCTTCCCTCTGCCCCGAGGAGCCCGGGGCTGGCTGTGGGAGAGGCTGTGCCGGCGCCTCTTCCGCGGGAGCTCCCGAGAGTCGCTGGGAAGCAGCGCTGATCTGGAGGGGCTTGTCTGACTCCTGATCATCTGCTTGCTGTGCCCGCCCACGGGGGTGCCTCTGCTTGGTAGCCGCCCTGACTCCTCGTTGCTGTTTAGTCAGCAGAGTCTCTCCTGGGCTCAGACTCTGGGGGGGAAACACAGGGAGTCTTTTCAGCACTCCCAGCCACGAGGGACGGCCGCTCCAGCAGCGAGCCCACCCCTCGCTGGGCTTCAGCACCAGCACCCCCCTGAGCTCGGGTTGTTTCCAGGCTCTGCCCCGGATCTCTGCATCTCTCCCCTGCCAGCTGGGCCTGTTGCTGCCGCCCACCCAGCATCAACTGGTTCCCAGCACGTTTTCCAGCTGCACCAGGCTGCCATCCCCCTCCTGCACGGCTGGGCTCTGCTCGTTCTACTGTCGGGCACCATCTGCAGCTCCTGGAAACCAGGCCAGCTCTGTTGACCCAAGAGGAGCCTGTCCCTTGTGTGCCAGCTCTGAATGGGCCCTTGTCTGTGCTGTGGGATATGGGGCCTTGTTGTGTACCAGGGCATGGGGAGAACTTGTTTTCCAGTGATGGTTTTTTAGGGTGGGGTGGCTGTGAGTGGTTACCCAAATGGAGGTAGTAACTCAGGATCCCTGTCTCACATCCAGAGCCTGTAAAACTAGTGACGAGCACGTGTCTAATAACTCATCTGCAAGGTGATGCTCCCCGTGTAGTGCCTGCAGCCCTCAGGCTCCCTGTCCCACTAATCCCATTCTACAGGGAGGGCAGTGAGAGCCTGAGAGGTGGTGACTCCTCCCAGGCCACGTTGGAAGGAGCTGATTAAGCTGGGATTTGGCCCTGAGTCTAACCATGGACTCTGGGAGGTGGCTTCCTTGTAGAGCTGGCTACAAGCCTGAGAGCCAGTGTGGGGTTCAACCGCCCCCAGTGGGGCGTGGAGGAGCCCAGAGTCTCTGGCTACTGTTTTACCCCATCCCACAGGGCTTGGGAGGGTGAATTCTCAGACCTGTAAATCCCCTTGATGGAAGAGAGAACAAACGTTGGTGTGTAGGGCAGGGGGACTGAGGCTCGGGGTGGATTGGTGGTGTAGAGAGAGCAGATCCCAAATCCTATCTCAGGCTGGAGAGAGCCAAAGAGTTTAAACAAGGCTCCTCAGGCTGGAAAGAGCCAAAGAGTTTAAACAAGGCTCCTCTTTGCTGCTGCAAAGAGCAAATCTTCAGCTGAATGTGGCACTTTGCATCTGAGGCTTTGAAGACAGAAGGTTATTGAAGCTGTTTTTGGTCTGTGTTCAGCTCCCAACAGCAGGCAAGGAGCGTGACCCCAGTCTAGGCTGAGGAGTTTATTCCTGGCTGCTCCATGGTGTTTTGCTTTGTCCTCTCTTATTTTCTCTCCTCTTCCTGTAGCATTCAACCTGTTTATGGAGCACAGCATCCTCCGCTGGATCCCCGGCTCACCAAAAAGTAAGTGCTTCTCTTCTGGAGACACAGGCCACGAGGTGTTGCAGGTTTTTTGCTCAGTGCTGGGGCAGGTGAAGGTCTCCAGCATCCTCTGGCACCGTGAGGTCTGGCGGTGAAGGGCAGCAGTGGCGTGCAGCACTGTCCTGAGCTCTGTGAGAACTCACAGGGAAAGCTGATCTGCCAGTGCCCTTATCACAGCCACCACATCAAAGGGCACAGGGGTGCTTTGCAGCAGCCACGTGTGTGAGCCCGCTGCCCTCCTGTGGAGGTGGAAGGATGGAGGGGAGGTGAAGGTGCAGGGCTGCAGAACCACAGCCCCCTTGCCCCAGAGCCCGTCAGAGCTGCCTCCTTGTCCCTGCCCCGTGCTGCGAGCGCCGAAGGTTCCCCCTTGCCCGTGGTGCTTCGGGGGTGGACTTTGACTCCTGCAGCTGGAGGCCAGCAGCAAAGGCTCCTCCTGTGCCTGGGAGAGGAACCAGGCTGCTCTGGGTGCTGGGAGCCGTCCCAGCTGCCTCGGGAGCCTCCTGGAGCACAGAGCAGCTCCGTCCAGCCCCTGTCATGCCTCTCCCCAGGTCACGAGACATTTTTTTGGGTGTTAATCTACCGTTTTTCTACGGTGGGAGGAGGCAGAGCTGGAGGAATTGTAGGTGTCTCCCGTTTGCCCTTAGGAGCCAGGCAGCCTGGCAGCTCTCCAGCTGCACGCTGGCACCGTGGCCTCCGTGCCCTGCCGTGGTGCCAGCTTGGCCTCTGCCTCCTGGCAGCCCGGAGAGACTTAACACATTCCCCAGGTTTGGGAGGAGGAACGGGGCAGCTGTTGAAAAGGATTGGAGGGAGGATGTAGGGGAGGAAAGAAAAGGGGCTTGTCTGACAGCAGGGCTCTGATGCTGCTTCTTTCTGGCTCCCAGCTTCAGTAAGGACCGCTCCAAGACCAACGCCCTGCCTGTGAAGAGCAAGAAGGCCTCCAGCTTTCATGAGTTTGCCCGCAACACCAGCGACGCCTGGGACATCGGTGATGACGAAGATGAGGATTTCTCTTCCTCCTCTTCTTCTTTGCAAACCCTGAACTCTAAAGTGGCCAAGGCCACAGCAGCCCAGGTTCTGGAGAACCACAGCAAGCTGCGGGTGAAGCCCGAGCGGGCCCAGCCTGCGCTCGGTGAGGTGCCCACCAACTGCAAGGTCATCAAGTCCAGCAGCGAGGCCCAGCTCTCCAGGACGTCTGGTAAGAGCCATCTTCAGGAGCAGCCTCCTGCTTGGTTCACTGCTGAACTCAGCTGCTTGCTGCTACTCACGTGTTACGGGCGAGAGGCTGTGGCACAGCCTACAAGAGGCTTTCTCCTCCTTGTTGTATCTTGTACTCCAAGGAGCCATTTTTGGAAGCCTGGTCTTAGTGCTTTGGTGTCCTCTGCCATTCAGTGTCCTGCACACAGGCATGTCTGTCCCAGAGAATCCCATCTTCTGGTGCTAAGGGATTTTGGGAGATCTGTGAAGTTGTTGCTCACTGTCTGTTCCTGCTGTGACCCAGCACGCTGCTCTTAGTAAAGGTCTGGATGGGGCCCTGTGAAGCCCAGGTCTGTGCAGCTTGGGCAGGGAACGGGGCAGCATCAGCCCCTGCTCGCTCTGCCTTGTGCCTGTGGAGTGGCAGTAACCCAGCAGGTCCCTGCTGCCAGCAGGTGGCATTGGCAGCCTGTCACCTCCTCTCGGCACAATTAGCTTCATCGCTATTTCTATAGCAGAGCAGATTTGAAAGCCAGTTCTGGGCTCCCCACAGCTCCTTCTGCCTTGGCTGCTGTGGCTTCCCATGGGAAGAGGGAAGCCTGATCCACTGCCAGGCACGGGATGCAGGAGGAAGGAAGAGAAGGAGAAACTGGGGG